CTAGAGGGGTCTGAAAAGTGGCTAAATATAGCGACTAAAGCAAATGCAGAGAGTGTATTTCCCCATTGTGGGACAATAAAGGGATTTACATTACATTTACAAAATCAATGCATGTTTTTATAACTCAAAAAGGAACTTATTAAAGCCTGCCCATATGAAGGTAAGACATATAAAGGTATGTAGATTAATAATGCAAACTCTGACAGGTCTGAAACTTTGCTTAATTCTGGACAAGAAGTTACGTTACCTATAAGAAAAAACTGGTAATGACTACTAGTCCTCTAAATGTTATACACTCAGAGTTTATAACATTTAGAGGACTATGATTGATTGTCTGTGATACATTATTTGAAATTATTATTTTTTTTTCAATTCTATTATAGATTTTATAGTTCCGATTGTAATTTTCTTTTATGCTTGTATGGTTTTGGGTCTGTGAAATGGTGTCATGCTGTTTCACTGTACAGCACTTTGGTCCTCTGAGAAATTCTGAACTGCTTTATAAATAAAGTTGGATTGGAAATTCAATTCTATTCTATGCAGTTTGTTTCTATAGAACCAATTCACAACACATGTCATCTCAAGGCACTTTCCAGTTCAACCAGATCAAACTGGTGAAGATCAAACAGAATAGAGATCGATAGAAATTCTAGGAACTACTGCTGTGCAAACTTACTGCTTATCAACTTGCTGTGTGACGGCGGCTGGCTTAAAGGGTGAAACGTAATGTTTAATGGAGTGTCAGGTAGAAAGGTACGCCAACAACCTTGATGAGGCTTAGTTGGCTGTTTTTAGACCAATCATCATATAAAAACTGGCTAACAAACTACTATATTGCATGAATGAAAAGAACACATAAGCATGAAGCTGAAATAGCTTTTGATTCCAAGCAGGGTTATTCCATCTCTTCCATATTTCTTTATACTAATCTATTGAAAAAAACTACACTTTTTTACATCTTAACATGGATTATATTATTATATGTTAATAGCAGAACTTTGAATCCCAGTTTCTGATTTGTGAAAGCTTTATTTGATATGTAAAAACTTGATTTCCGTCCCCTTTTCATTACCTATGCCAAATTAGAACCAGTCCAGCTTAATAACTCTTGTTGGTTTGAACAAATCCCATTTGTATAAAATTCGTACTTATACTCTCTCTGCCAGCTGAGAGTCATAGTGGCCAGGGCAGGCCTTAGCTATTGGCTGGAGGAAGCCAGCATAACCAAGTCATCCAGAAACCTGCCGGCCCCAAACCAGCCCCATGTGACAGAGGACAGTCCAATGTGCACCAATACAAGTCTGACTAAATGCAGATCAGACTCCTGCTAAACTTGTAATTAGGCTGAATGTCACCCAGCTAAGGGCCCCTGGCTCTGGACTGCTGTAGCACCTCCCACAGGGCCCCATGAGGGTCACAGTGGAATGCCTTCTTCAGACCCACGAATCAAAGGTGAACCTCTTGGGCAAACTGTCCTAACGCTGCAGAGGTGTAGAGCTGGTCCAGTGTTCAGGATGAAAACCGTACTGCTCCTTCTGAGGTCTGACAATCAGCCAAACTCTTTGATCGCTTCTGTGACTCCAGCCTAGGGTTAGGAACAACTCTGAGCACTTAGGCTTTGTTCACACAGCAGCCTGCACTGAACCAAATCAGATTTTTGTTCCACATATTTGACCTGCATCTGATATTTTCATGACAATCTAAACAACAAAGATCTGATATTTCCCAAAGCGACCCAGGTCCTCGGCTCTGTGGTCCTGAATCCGATTAGAATCTGATCTTTTAAAATGCGACCTGTGTCTGATCGGCCAGGTCGCATTCATCCAACCTGAACCGCATTAATAACCGACAAAGGTAACTATTCTGCTTCTTTCTACGCAGAAGCAGGAAGTAAAACAACAACCATGGCGGACGATGATATGGAGAGCAGTCTTTATTTTCAGCCTTCATGAAAAGATTGTGTTATTAATGCTCTGGCTGAGGCTTGGAAAGAAATGAAGGATGCGCTCCAGCGCTACCATCCATGTTTACTTCCGTAAACACAGAAAATGCTCGCTGGTGACGTCATTGTGTCGTCTACTGCGCATGAAGGACACTGTAGATGTGTGAATGCAGTGGAGATCACATACAGGTCCCATATATTTGGAAATGTGAAAGACCGCAAAAAAGAATCTGATCTCACAAAAGGGAAAGGTTTGATGCCTGCTAGGTTTACCAAATCCTCAAAGTATTCTTTTCTCTGTCCAAGAATGTCGCCAGTCTAGGTTAGTAGTTCCCACTCCTGCTGTAATCTGTAATAGTGAATAGTTTGGTGCTGTGGAGGCAGCGGACGGTAAGCTAGAGTCACTATGTGGCCGACTGATAGTCTTTCTCCATGGCCGCATCAAACTCTTACCAGGCCTGAGTTTTGCTACTTCAACAAGGGTTCCCAACCCTGCTCCTAAAGACCCATTGGCTGTGACCGACCGTCCGCCCTAACCCCAAATCCCTCCATCGCTATATAAAGCGGGGACTGTATAGTGAACTCAGGTAACTGACCGTTCGGACAGACGATCATTGCATGCAGAATTCATTTTTTGGAGAGAAATATCAGCTGTGCTGCTGCCATCAACACCTTTGTTTCTAGATGTTGGAGCTTGGCCTGTTTTCCAGTGTAGTCCTGTTTCTCTGACTGTGACTAACTGGATGTGCTCTCTTCATCCTCTGACATGGGAGCTGGCTCGGAGCTCGTCTGCCTGGCTGTGTGTTTCCTGGACGGTGCCGCCTGTGGAGCCTCAGCAGATGGCCGCTCACCATGAAATCCCACATCCTCCGTCTCCTTCACGCTGCGCTCCAGACCGCCTGCCCAAACCAAAGTCTACAGCCTCCACTGTTCCTGCTCTACTCCGACTTCCTCTGAGTTTGAGGAGAGCATGCGCGATATTATTATTAAATTCATATGAGCAAAACGTGCGGAAATGAACGCTTAATTTATTATGAAGCTTTAAAGAAATCCCCATCAGCATCCAGCAGATGTGCAGTTTCTGCCAAAAATATTTTCTTCTAGTTGTAGATTTTTCTAACAGGGACGATTAGAATAATCCAAAACTGCTTTTTATGAACTTTGTTTGTTCTCCATTTCCAAACTCAGCATCTTTTCAAACATCCCTGCAATAAAAATTTATTTTGACTGGATTTGATTAAACTTTTAAGCCTCTCGATATAAAATAAATATTTAATTGGAGATGAGAAATGTGCTTCCTGGTCTGTTGAAGCACCAATAGTTTGCATCTAATCATGTAAATAAACTGTCTTATATTTTTTTGATAATATATAAGAATTATATTCTAATTTGTAGTTACCGATTTGTCGTTACTATATTTCAATTGAACAAACCTCGCTGTTCTTTTTCCTGTTTGGTGCGATGAATAGCGGATCTTGATCTGGCCGGACTGGAACGGAGCAAAAAGTAGCTGAGCTCCGTGTTTTGTCGGTGACGGATGGAGAATACGTACGGTGACGGTGACGTGCGGAGGAGTAGCGGTGGATGTGGAACATCTCTCATTGATTAACATGACAGCTGGCACTCCGCATGACATGAGCGGAGCGCTGATGGAGGATGTGGAATCTGGTTCTGCTGGAGGTTTCTTCCTGTTCAAAGGGAGTTTTTCCTCTCCACTGTTGCTACATGCATGCTTGGTGTGAGGGATTGCTGAAGAGTCAGTGAGTTGAAAACTTTCAATCAATCAGGCTGGATGATCTGGTGAACTGTAAAATGCCTTGAGATGACATGATGTGAATTGGAGCTATAGAAATAAACTGAATAGAATATGATGGTTTAGTTTCTCATGGCGGTTTTCATCGGTAGGGACCAGGAAGGCTGCTAGGACTTTAAAAGGTGAACTCTCTGTGTGTAGTTCCTGCTATGGCCTCAGGATGTCGCTGTTGCTCCACTAATGAGCCTGCTGGCTCCCTCTTGGTGTCCGAGCTGTGAAGCTGCGGCATCCAGCCGGGTGGCTGCGCGGTTCATGCATTTATTTGCAGCGCTTGGCATTGATTGGAGCATTAAACGTGCAGCACCAACAAAGCTAATGATTCTCCTGCTTGTTTTTAACAGAAACATCGCAGCTTCTTCTCCAGTTTCCCCTCAATCTTTCTACTTCTATTGATTCCTTTTGACAAACAACTTCCAGGATGTTCCAGGAAAAGGTTTTTTGGTCGCTTTAAAAATACTGAAATGTAATCCGGGCCTTTAAATCAAGGATAAATCTTCTAAATGTTCAAAACCAATCAAACATCTAAAGTATTTGTCCTCAATCGGTAGAGCTGAGATGAAGGAATCTGCATCCTGTTTTTATTACAATAACAA